GCAACAAATGGATGACTTTCACACTATGTGAAACAAGCTAGACACACAGAAAAGCTGCATGCTGTAATGACTCCATTTACATCATACTGTAGAGAAAACTATAGGAACAGAAAATATACCAGTAGTTGCCAGGTGTCAGGGTGTGGAGAAAGAGAAGTGACCACAAAGGAGCACTAGGGAACTATTTTTTTTGGTGAGGAAGATCAGCCCTGAGCTAACTTCTGTCCAATCTTCCTTTATTTTGTTTGTGGGACACCACCACAGCATGGCTTGATGAGTGGTGCGTAGGTCCACACCTGGGATCTGAAGCTGTGAATCCCAGGTCGCCAAAGCAGAGCATGCAAACTTAACCACTATGCAATGGGGCTGGCCCAGGGAATTTTTTTGTGAGATAGAAAGAAATGTTAAATGGAAATGGTCTTCATCTTGGTTGTCACAGCAGTTACACATTTGCAAAATCTGTCAAAGAGTGAATGTACATAATGTACAACATCAAAAGTAAAACTTAATGTAAACAATGGACTTTAGGTGATAATGATGTGTCAATTTAGGTTCATCAGTTGTAACAAATGTACCGCTCCAAGGGAGATGATGATAATGTGAAGGCTTGCACGTGTGGTGGTAGGGGGAATATGGGAAATCTCTACAGCTTCTGCTCAATTTTGCTGTGAACCTAAAACTGCTCTAAAAAATAGTCAGTGGTTTAAAAATGGTGAATACTGGCCCGGTGGCACAGCAGTTAAGTGCACACGTTCCACTTCGGTGGCCTGGGGTTCAGTGGTTTCAATCCGGGCTGCGGACATGGCACCGCTTGGCAAGCCATGCTGTGGTAGGCATCCCACATATAAAGTAGAGGAAGATGGGCACGGATGTTATCTCAGGGCCAGTCTTCCTCAGCAAAACGAGGAGGATTGGCAGCGGTTAGCTCAGGGCTAATCTTCCTCAAAAAAAAAAAAAAATGGTGAATATTAGCCTAAGCAAATTATACTTTAATAAATCTGACTTAAAAATGTACTGAATGAATTACTCCAAACACATTACCAAATGGCCACAGGATTAACTTTTCACACCAATACCCCAAGGTTCAAATTAAACATATCTAAAATTAAACTCACTAGCTTCTTCTTTGCCTGTAAACCACCTCCCCAAATCTCTTAACAAACTCTCTCTCTCTCTACTTCACTAGTTCAGTCAACAGCACCAACATTCTGTCACCCAAGTTCAAAACCCTAGAGTATACTAATGCCTCTCTTTATTTTTCATAACATTCTTCTTCTAAAAATGCTCAGAAGCTCCCTCAATGAATCATTTCATATGGCCAGTTTGCACTGTTCACTATGCTTTGAATACTTTCTCAGCATTGTCCCACCCCAAAATGTTCTCCTGTTTGGTTTTATTCAAGTTCCATTCCATCCAATAAGCCTTCCTTCAGCATTCAGCCCATAACTCCACTTTCAAATTTCAATAAACTTTACTGCAGGTACCAGTATATCTTTTCACCTCTATGTTTTGTCTCTCCACTATACCATCAGTTTTCCTTTAAAATAAAGATTCTGAAATACTAGCTTTCCAGCCCCTCAAAGACTTCTCACAATAGATTAGTAGCATTGGTTGATCCTGATTATCCAAATGAATTAGGAAAATGATTATCCCAAACCAGAGGGAACTCCTAACATTCCTAAAATCTTCATTAATACATTGAAGAGTTCTAATCTGACAAGCAAAATTTTCTCCTTCAACATCAAGAGATTCATAAAACTTGGCAGCGGTGCAATGGAACAAGGCACACTTCAAGATTAGCACTGTGATATTCTACACATAATGGGTCCAGAACATATCTTTCTAAAGGAAAGACAACTACTCTGCATTATCCTAACACGATAATTAAAGTACAGCAGGGATTTGCTGCTGAGGGTTAGAAGGCATAAGCCCAAGCTGGCAGTGCTTGAGGTAGAGCAGTAGGTCACAACTGCAGATAATTGAGAATGGGAGAGCCCCATCACCCCCACCACCCCAAAAGAGGATGCAGAATAATAATTTAATCACCCCTTCCACTGTCTCACTGATAGCAACAATTCCTAGAATTCTAACAGTAGTTGTCTTTAAAGAAATCTTATAGCACCAAAATACAAGAAGCTGGGGTAAGGGAATTTATAACAGAGTCTAGAAACACTCCAATATCCTCCTTTGAGAATATAGAGAGGTAGCTTTGGTACAGAGAGTAAAAGGAATAGACGTGGCATCAGGTGCTAGGTTTGAAACTCTGGCTCTAGTCTACACATACCAGCTGTGTCACATTGGGCAAATCACATAACCACCATTTCCCGAGAAGAGCACCTACTTGGCTTCGTTTTCTGGGGGTAAAATGAAAATGTATGAGAAAGTATCCTAGGATAGTGATTAGTACACATTAGTTGTTCAACAAATGTTAGTTAAATAAACAGTCCTTCAATTTTATCTTATTAATACTCACCCAGTACTTGGCTTTTTACCAAGTACCTTTTTAAAAGTTGAGATCTGTGTTACCTAAGCAGTCATCCAACATATCCAATTTTTTAGAGTTGCTAATAAATACCTTTTCCTCTTTATCTATGACATTGAGGCTTTAACATCAATTAAGTAAAGCGTCAGAGAATAATAGACTATATAGACAAACAAGTAGATTTTGTTCAAAAGAACGTCATATTTTCTGGTTTTTCTAACCACAAAGATCAAATTAACCATTTACCTTCATCGTCATCATCTCTTTCTTTCTCTTCCAAAGCTTGTCTTTCCAACTGTCTTGCTACCTCATCAACTGAGGTTCCTGATTCTTTATCAGGTTCCTGTTGTCCTGCTGATCAAATACAATAACATAAATCAAATTTAATGATCATACTTTACCACTAGAATATGTTCTAAGTATCCTGGAAAACACAGAACTCCTTTCCTGATAAGTGTCCAGCAAACAAAAACAGAAACATTACTCCGAAATAACAAAATTTATTTAATGACAGAGAACAATGTTCCATATCTAAGTAGTGTTGTCCATTCAACAAAATATCCATTACACTTTCTCTGGCCTAGCAGCCAAAAGATAAACAAAAGTGTGTGTTGGTCCCTATCCTTAACTAGCTTAACTTGTTAAAGCATTTATCAATTAGACTACAACAAATACTTTACTAACCAAACAGGTACTTAAGAAAGGCAATAAATGTTGGAGGCTTTAGTTAGGAAAAGGATTTCTGTTGGACACTGGGGCTTCAGGGCTTCATGAGGAAAGAAGTTGTCAAGCTGGTCTGGGTAAAATCAAACAAAATAGGAAAAGATATTCCATTACTAAAAACTAAAATTCTTCAACAGCTTAGCAGAATACCAGCCCCCTGCTGTGGAAATTAGTACAATCTAGTTGTAGTAGCAATATGTGTGCGCAAAAAGAGACCGTACTACCAGGTAGCACGTAATAAGGTGACATTTTGGTCACTGCAGACGATTCATATTGACAGATACAACTGTTAAAAACATACTGGGGTCAGGCTGCTGAACACCTTAAAGGACAAACCGAAGAGTGTGGATTTCATCCGAAAGCCAGGAACAGTCCCTAGACTATGCCCTGGCACTAAATCTTGCTCTGGAAGCGTCCCAGCACCTACAACTCTCCCTCGTCAACTCCCATCTAATCAGAATTTCAGAAGGATATAGATTAACCCTCTCCAGCCTCCCACAACTCCACCTTCATCACTTCTGGCCTCTCCATTTTTCTGTCATTCTTTCTGTGGCTGATTTTCATTAGAAACACGTACAAATAATTTTTCCCAAAATTAAGGACCCTGCGCAACAAAAACATTGATTTCTCAAAATATAATAGTTAAGTTCCTAATTCATAATCCAAGTAAACTTTCAGCTGTTTTCCTTGCCTTCCCAGGGGATTTAGAGAAGTTCCATTCCGAGCCACAGAATATCCCATCTGGACTGCCTGGCAAGTGGCATCGTAATTCAGGCCTAAAAGCCCTACAGCTTGACGACGCTGGGGGATTAGGCAAGTGAAAAAATCGCACCGCCACCACCACACATCCTGCAATCACTACTCAGTGACATGAGCGTGTGGGCAGACACAGACACACACCTCCCAAAAGTGCAGCCCGCAACGCAACAGAAATCCCTCTGCACACTGGGCGGGGGGCTGGGGGGTGCGGTCAAGGCACCAAGACTTGCCAACTCCACCCCCACCCTTGACAAAATATGTCCCAGGTTGCTCCAGCAAAGAGGAGGCAACGCGGGTCAGAACCAGATTTTTGGAGAGGCCAAACCGCAAGGAAGGTGGCAGGACAGGGTCCTGTGCCCGGCCTGTGTGGGAGCCGAGTTCTGGGAATGCAGGGGCTGGGGTCCCCCAAAGCTACCTCAGGAGAAGCTGAGCCCCCCTCCCCCACCCCACCCTCACCCGCTCCCTAGTCCCGCAGGAGAAGCAGCCTCTCCCCGGGACTGGAACTCTGTAACCTGGACTTGACATACGCTCAGTCCTGGGAAGCAGTCCAGTCCCAGGCTCCAAGTCCCTAGACCCTGTCACCTCAGCCGGGCCTGAGCCGAGCCATCCGGCCATCCCTGGTGGGGACCCTGGAAACATACAACTCCCTTTACCTGTGGCAGCCCCTTTACTCTTCTTCTTCTTCCGTCTTTTTTTCTTGGCTGCCTCCTCAGCCGTAGAGGCAGCTCCCTCCTCCCTGTCGTCTGGATCCAGGTCGCCATTCAGGTGGCTCCCGGAGGACGCTGCCTCCTCCACACCCGCCATGTTGCCCGAGAAAGCGCGAGGGAGTGAGACCGAGCGGCAAGGGCCCGCTCCTTCTTCACCCGCCTACACCCGCCACGCCGGAAGCTGCTCTCGATGGTGGGGCGCGGGGAATGCCGGGACGGCGGCGGACTCGCCTGCGGCGGCGGCGCGCGGAGCAGTCTTGGGGCGCGGCCGCAGCGGTGCTTGGGCCATGGCCGGCCGGGCCTGGTTGTCCTCGGCTCGGGCCAGATGGGACGACTGTGTCGTCCCGCGCCTTGGGCATGTCCCGGGTAAATATGCCCGGGTAGGGTCAAGTTGAATGCCTCTGCCTGCCCGGTAGACAGGCGCGGCCCCCAGGAGAGGCGAGACTCAGGGGGGACCAGAAAGTTTTACATTCGCGGTTTTATAAAACACCCCGGAAGTGAGACGAGGGACAAAAAATGTGTTCACTTGTACACACTCCTATTCTCTGACTCGAAGGACTGCGTTGTTATTCACAGTTACCCCTCACGGCGAGGCCGTCCAGGCACTCAAGGAGATGAAGCTGCAAAGGGGACTGAAGAGGCAGGCAGAGAGGAGGCTCAGGAGGCATTTATTATTAGAGAAGCCAAGGGAAGACAGCGCCTCCCTCCAGGAGGGCGTGATGGACTGTACTGAGTGCTGTTAAAAGGTCAAGGGAGAGGACGGGAAAATGTCAGGTGTGTATAGTAACATGGAAGCCACTGGTGAGCTTAGCAAGAGCTGGTTAGGTGGAGAGATGGAAGCCAGGCTAAAGAGATTGGGGGATCGCCTGGAGGGGAGGAAAGAGAAACTCCCCTCATCCTTCACGGTTCAGCTTAAATGTGACTGCCTCAGAGAATCCTTCCTCGACGATATAAGTCAGGCCCTGCTCTTACAACCTCTCAGGGAATTCTTAATCTTTTTCCATGACAATTTGTAATTAATTTATTTGATTATTTGTTTTACGTCCCTCTCGCCAACTACCTTGAGCTCCGTAAAGACAGGAACACTGTGTATTTTGTACTCAGTCACCAGCACCTCCCTCTAAACTGGAGCATAGTAGGAGCTCAGTAAATACTTATTGTATAAATAGCACTTAAGAAGTGCCAAGTACTTTACATTCATTATCTCATTTAATCCACTTTTGAGTTGAGGAAATTAGAGTTTTGGTAACTTGCACCAGGTCATACAGCAAGTATGTAGCTGAATTAGAATCCAAACCCAGGTCGTCAAGCCCTAAAAGTTTAGTCACTGTATTCCACCTTCCCAATTGAAATTTCAAGTCAGTTTAGCAAATTACTTATTGATTGTAAACTAGAAGTAATTTTTCTCTGTGGAAGATACAAAAATGAGTAAGACACAAATCTGTACCGTCAAGAAAGTTTAGGATTCAATGAGACAGACATGTAAATAAATAAGAACAAAATAAGGTGCTAATCCTTTCCTTACGTCATTTATTAATTCTTTTTTATTCCAAGTTAGTCTATCACAAAGGTGAGGAATTTTTAAAGGGTCTAAAAGATCTTCAGATTGGAGGCAAAGATGTGGCAGATCACCTTTAGGAGGCATCACACCCTTTTTGAGGTGCAAAGGTACTGCTAGAAGCCTTTTAACATCCTTATGAGTAAGATCTAACATCAAAAACGTCTTCAAGCTTTGTTGTGAGTCTTCCCGGTTCTTCTCTAAGTTCTGGGAACACTTGTGCCATGGCTGCTATCTCAGACCAGGTTCAGCAGGCACAGGATCCTGAGGGACAGAACCTGTAGGGTTGATAGATGCATTTTGACAAAGGGATGCTTGAGATATAAGTTGATCTACAGAATGATCAATGTCAAAATAAAGTTTGTTCAGTGAAAAAAATAGGATGCTAAAATGAAATGGTGAAACAAAATAGTTTCTTGGTTGTAAAGGGATTGTACTCTGCTTCTCCCCCTTTCTTTCCTAAAAAGAGGCAAGAAAACAAAACTAAGATAATAGTAAAAAACGGTCCATAGCTTAACAGTATGGTAATGGATATTTGCTGGATGATTATTTTCCAGGAACCTCCAGAGTTTCCTCAAACTAAGTAACTATACTTAAAGTAACAGCCCAAGACACTCCTTATTTTCATCATTTTTCTTCATTTGGTTTTCTCGGCTGAAGGAAATTGGATGGTGTAAAGCAATGAGAAATGTTGAAAACCTAAGTAAGAATCTAAGAGAAACTGTGATAAATGTAACTCAATACCAGCACAGGTTAGAATATTTTTCTAATTATGTGAAGTCATTTTGTCTCAGATGGTTAACTAGATAAGCAGACAAAAATAGGGAGTTTTTTTCCTTAAAGAGATACTTTTCCTTTTATAAAATCAATGCACTGTAATAAGACACATTTATTATTTTGTCCAAAAAATGTATCTGCTGAGAAAATATTGATTCCAAAATGGACAACATAATTAGTCCCAGCCTTATTTTCTTTGAAGTCCTTGCTAGTGGTACGGCTTTGGACAGTCACTAATCTCTCCAAATTTCAGTTTCCTTATTTGTAAAATGAGGATAACAATAGTATCACATCATAGGATATGCAAATTAAATTTCAAAATGGAGAGAAAGCACTATGCTAGCACAATGTCTGACACAATAGTGATAAGTGTTAGCTAACATGACTGTTAGTAAGCCATGCTCTTGAAAACTTTCCATTTGTGTGGATTATATGATGGCCTAGAGAGCCAAGGCACACATTATGATGTGACCTTTGGCAATGGGTTAACAAGAAATACATTAAGAAAAAATTGGGAAAGCTTGATTGCTTGACATTAAGGGAAATACTAAGGATTTTTTCATATCTTTTTGGTTAAAAATGTGATATAAGTATTTAAAAATATATAGATGGAATGATCTATGTGTTTATACCATCACATTGGGGATTAGGGCTTCAACATATGAATTTTGGGGGGAACACCATTCAGACCATAACACAGACATTGCCGAATGTTCCACTGGAGAACGATAACACAGACATTGCCAAATGTTCCACTGGAGAAAGAGGCAGGGAACTGCTCCTGGTTAAGAACCACTGGCATAAAGGCATGAAAGAATGTCACATGTTTAGGGGAAGTTCTTGATGAGGAGTAAGTATATTGAGACAAGATTGTAAAGGCCCTTCTATGTTAGCCTAAAGAGTATGGCTTTTACTGTAAGGGCCGACGTGACATGTGACAAGGGATATTTAAATTTTAATATTTTAAAAAGTGCCCAAAATAGAAGACCGCAACACACATGTCAATAGCATGTCAACACAATGAGTCATATGTAGCCATTAAAAGCCAATAAAATGATATGCATATAGATTATGTGGATAAATTTAAATGCTTATATAATACATGCAGAGATTTTCAAGCGAAGGAAACATGTTCATTTTTACTTTGTGAAAGAAACATCAGTCTGTTAGCAATCTAGCTTCTAGAGCAGTCGTTCCCATTCAGGAAACTGTGTTTCATTTAAAAAGCCGAATATATTTAAAGAATTATTTTCTATTTTGAGAGTATGGTATTTTCTATTTTTTGAAGTTGAATAGTCTTTTAAAATTCTTGTTAGGAAATGACAGTGAGAGTAGATGATGTTGGTTTTTTGTGCCCTGACAAGATTGTTTTTTTTTAAAAAGCCACACTATGTCAGTTCTCAAAGTTATTTTCTTTAATTTTTCTGAACAGTGAAATCGCTAAAGCTGATGGCCTCTATTCTGAAGAAAGGATTGGAAATGACAGAGCCTAGTAGTATGGAAGACTTGCTAAGATGTTATTATTGATAACAATATTGGTGAGAACTTGCAGGAAGGCTGTTGGGGGGCCAGAGAGGAGAGACTGGATTGCAGAAACATTTCTAATATTAAATTAAGAGAAGTTAATGGTCCATTGAATGTGGAGAAGGAGGAGTTGGGGATGACACCCAGGTTTCTGGCTTGGGTTCCTGGGTAGATAGTGGTACCACTCCCTGAGATAGGGAATAAAGGAGGAGGGGTAGGTTTTGGAGGAGGCAGAGGGCAAGATAAGTTTTGGGCATTTTAAGTTTGAGATGCCTGCAGGGCATCCAGGCAAAGATATCTGGTAGTCGGAGGAAATATGGATCTGGAGATATAGACATGAGAGTTACTAGAACTTGGGTGTGGGAGAAGGCTGTGAATGGGGTAGTTTAGAGAGAAGAGAAAAAGAACAAAAACAGAACACAACCCAGAAGGACACTAAGGTTTTGAGATTTTGTTTGTTTATAACATACAAGCGTGGGAAATTCTGTTAAAGACATTACAAAGGAATGGTAGGACAAGAAGGAGAAAACACTTTAGAGAATAATCACGTGGAAGTGAGGAGGAAAAAAAGTTTTACAAAAGTTTGGTCAGCTATATCAACTGCTAAAGAAAGATCAAGTGGAATGGAGTCTCAAACTAGACCATTGATTTTAATCATTAGGAGGCTACTGGTGACTTTAATGAGAGCAATTTTGTTAGATGGCACCAAGAAAAGGATCCTCACAAGAGAGTGTTAGAATAGTTAGATACTTAAGAACAGAACTCCTTTACCTTCCCCATAATTTCTATGTAGCATCCCTGTATTTAGGCTGGACTTTGGGAAAGACATATGTGATTCCAAGCAATATTCCTGTGGCCAAGATGTCAGGAGTATCATTACTCTTATGGAAGTTTCAAGTGTTTATTGGACAGGGCTACATAGGAATCAGTTCACAAAAGAAAGATAAGAGCTACATGAAATACTGGAGGACAAATGACAGTACCTTTCATAGACTCTCTCTTCTCATCTCTCCTGGTAGTGATTCTTACTACTTATTAAAAAATGAGAGTTATTTTGGTGTTGAAGGCAGAGGTGGGTAGAGTTAAACTAGAAATACATTGTGCGTGAGGTTGTAATATGGAAAAGGATAAGACAGAGGCTCTCAAAAACTTTTGGTCTCAGGACCCTTTTATACTTGAAAAATTACAGAGGACCTCACAAATTTTTTGTTTGTATGGTGCCATAGATTGAATGTTTGTGTCTCCCTAAAGCTCATATGTTTAAACCTAATCCTTAGTGTGATGGTATTTGGAGGTGGGGCTTCTGGGAGGTGATTAGGTCATGAGGGCTTTTGGAATGGGATGAGCACTCTTATAAAAGAAACCCCAGAGAGCTCCCTCACCCGCTTCTGTCACGTGAGGACGCAGTGAGAAGACAACTGTCTGTGAACCAGGAAGCTGGACCTCTCCAGACATGGAATCAGACAAGTTGATACTGTTTCACAGTCACTGAGGCTTGGTTAATTTTGGTTTTGTTTTTTGTTTTTCTTTCTTGCTTCAGTTTGGATGGTTTCCATTGCTTTGCCTTCAATTTCACTTATCTTTTATTCTGTGTAGTCTAATTCCTGTCAAGCCTATCCAGTTAAGTTTTCATTTCAGATAGTATAATTCTTCAGTTGTAGAATTTACATTTGCTTCTTTTTTATACTTTCCATTTCTCTATTGAGATTTTCTGTTTATTCCCTTATTATATTAATGTTTTCCTTTAAATATTTAAACAGTTATAATAGCTACTTTAAAGTGCTTATCCTCTATTTTCATCATCTCTCCCGATTCTAAGTTCATGATTTCTTCTTCTGGTTAGGAGTCACATTTTCCAATTCTTCTCATGTCTAGTAATTTTTTTGTCTTATGCTAGACACCACAGAAACTACTTTGAGTGTTGTCTTTCTTAATAGGGTATTGAATATTGTTCAACTAGTCAGCTGATTTACTTGCATCTCAGTGTGATACTTTGAAGATTTGTTTCAAGCTTATTTTAGACAGAGCTAGAGCACCACCTTATTCTAGGGCACCACTGTCCAATATGAAATCTACTAGTCATATATGGCTATTAAGCATTTGAAATGTGACTACTCCAAATTGAACTGTGTTGTAAGTGAAAAATGGACACTGAACTTAAAAGACTTAGTATGAAAAAGAGATTGTAAAATATCTCAGTAATCGTCTATGTTGGTTACATGTTGAAAAGAAAATATTTTGGATATATTGGGTTAAATAAAATATTTTTTAACCTTAATTTTATCTGTTCCCTTTAACTTTTTTCAAGAGGTTACTAGAAAATTTTAAATTACATTTGTGACACATTATATTTCTCTTGAATAGTACTGTTGTAGTGCTACATTAACCCTATTCCTAAAACCCAGCCTTTCTGGGATGTCTGCTAAATTCCTGGAGTAGTTAAGGAGATCGCTCCACTGGGCTGGTTGGAACGTCAACACCTCCCATCCCTGTGAAATCTCTGGTCATTGTTTAGCTCATAGCTTCCCAGAAATTGTTCTCTCCCTAATAGTTGTTCTTTGCCTAGTCTCATGGAGTCTTTCCCTGTGCAGACTTCTCTGTGCAGCTTCCGTCTCCCTGATACCTGATCTCCATCTCCTCAGCTCAGTGACACCACATGCTTTGGTTGGCCCTTCTTTGTACTGTGGTCTGGAAACTGCCTCCATACAAAAAGCTGTGGCGATCATGCAGCTTGTTCATTTGTTTCCCTTCTGTTAGCGATCACAGTTCTATGTTCCCTGTTGACCAGTATCTAAAAACAGTTATTTTATTTATTTTTCCCGGTTTTACAGTTGTATATGGTAGAACATCTTGTGCCCAGTGTCAGTTACTGTATCATAATTGAAAGTAGAAGTCCTTATCATGATTTTTCTCTCCCACGTTGCAGGTTTTCCTTAAATGTCTGATGGGTGTTACTTGCCATTTCATATTTTAAAATGATGCAGTGGAAAAACTGACTGTGACCTCTGTGTTTGTGGACAGGGCTTTGTCAACAGAGAAGCTTTTCTTTAATGTGAATGGATGAAAAGCAGACTATAGACCTGGGATCCCTGTGATAGACACTGTTGGATGCCTACCGAGAATTCATTTTAAATTTTTCCCTTGCTAACATAGCCCTGCTTTGGTTCAGGTGTCCACCCTTCTCTACTTAATCACGTGCCTAAGCAGGAGAACCTATTCTTATCTCAACAATACATCCTGACTGGGCTAAACTAATACTACACAACAGTTCCAATCTCTCTTCCCAGCAATTTATTTAGGCCTAGACATGTGTTGCTATTTCGGTCAATGCAGAAAAACCATTGAGAACTTATGGAAAAGTTTTCCTAAATCTTAAAAAAAAAAAGAAAGAAAATATAATCCCTTTTCTTCTTTTAGATGTTTTCAGGTCTGAGAATGGGGTGAAATCTGAAGAACACAGGAAAAAAGGATGGAAAGATGCTGGGCCCTTGATGTTATTGAGCCGCAAAATTGGAAAACCCTAGTTTAGACACTCTTCTCCAAACGTGTAAGATGCCACATCTCTGTATTATTAAAACAGAGATTTCTGATACTTATAAAGTCTTTCTAACTGATACAAATTCCAGAACGTAGAGGACTTGGTGCTCAGTTAGCTCTCTTGATTCAGAAATTCCAAGCTCACATTTCCAGTGACTGAGGATGGCTGAGGTAAAAGACAAGAATGGAGTCAACTGGTCTTGAGGTTCTGAACAGAACACTAGTATAAAGTTATTTGGGGGTCAGAACTAACAAATCTCTAATATTCTTTGGGTCTGAAAACTGACAGAAGCTGGTGGGAGAAAAGGTAGATGCTTCTAAAGACACTCAGGTGTTTTCAAGGACCTGATCTTTAGAAGTCAACATCTCTAAGTTGGTATGGGTGGAGGTTAGAACTGGCTAAGGCTCTTGGGTACTCCTTTATTTAAAAAATTATGATTATTTACATGCCATAAAAATTAACCATTTTAAGGTGTACAATTCTGTGGGTTTTAGTTTATTACAAGTGTATAACGACCACCACCATCTAATTACAGAACATTTTCCATTCATCAATTGATAGACAGTTGGGTGGTTTCTATTTTTTGGCTATTGTGAATAATGCTACTGTGAATATTCACGTACAAGTTTTGGTGTGGATATATGTTTTCATTTCTCTTGGATATGTATCTAGGAGTACAATCGCTGAGTCATATGATAACTCTATGTTTAATCTTTGGATGAACTACCAGACTGTTTTCAAAAGCAATTGCACCATTTTACATTCCTAGCAGCAGTGTATGAGGTTTCTAATTTGTCTATATCTTTGTCAACACTTATTATTGTCTGTTTTTTTAAATTATAGCCATCCTAGTGGGTGTGAAATGGTATCTCATTGTGGTTTTGATTGGCATTTATCTAATGACTAATGATATTGAGCATCTTTTCATGTTTTATTAGCTATTTGCATATATCCTTTGGAGAAATGTCTATCCAAATCTTTTGCCCATTTTTTTCCCTTCTTTCTTTTCTTTTTCTTTTTTTTTTTTTTTTCAGGAAGATTAGCCCTGAGCTAACATCTGCCACCAACCCTCCTTTTTTTTGCTGAGGAAGACTGGCCCTGAGCTAACATCTGTGCCCATCTTCCTCTACTTTATATGTGGGACTCCTGCCACAGCATGGCTTGACAGGCAGTGCCTAGGTCCGCACCCGGGATCTAAACTGGCAAACCCCAGGTCCCTGAAGCAGAATGTGCGAACTTAACCGCCGTACCACCAGGCTGGCCCCCCTTTGCCCATTTTTAAATTGAGTTATCTGCCTTTTTATTGTTAAATTTAATGGTTTTTAATATATTCTGGATACTAGACCCTTATTACACATATGATTTGCAAGTGTTTTTTCCCATTCTATGATCTATTTTGAGTTAATTTTTTGTATATGGTGTGATGTAGAGGTCCAACTTCATTCTTTTGCACATGGTTATCCAACTGTCCCATTAACGTGTTGAAAGACTATTGTTTCTTCCATTGAATTGTCTTGGCACCCTTGTCAAAAATTAATTAATGGTAAACTGATGAATGGATAAATAAGATGTGGTGTATATATATATATATATTTATACACACACAATGGAATACTACCCAGCCGTAAAAAAAGAGAAAATTGTCCCATTTGCAACAACATGGATGGACCTTGAGGGTATGATGTTAAATGAAATAAGCCAGATAGAGAAAGACAAACACCATATGATTTCACTCATATGTGGAAGATAAACAAACACTTGGATAAAGAGAACAGATTAGTGCTTACCAGAGGGGAAGAGTGTAGAGGGCATGGGCAAAAGGAGTAAAGGGGCACATACGTATGGTGACAGATAAAAACTAGACTGTTAGTGGTGAGCACAATATAGTCTATCTAGAAACTGATATATAATAATGTACACCTGAAATTACACAATGTTGTAAATCTATATAACCTCAATAAAATAATTTTTTTTAAAAAAAGAAAGAAAATAAAGAACCATGTGACCCTGGGTACACATCCAGATATTGGTGAGAGCTTCATACTGCCATAGGTGGGGAGGCCGTGCCTGGGTGGACTAGCGGGGAGGAGAGCTGTAGAGTGATGTGGAGAGATAGTGACATCAAGCCATTGGTGGTTGGCCAGCCCCCTGGGCACCTGCAGCTCCCCCAGCCACACCGGAGAGAAGCAGGAGTGTGTGGATGGAGGGAGGGAGGATATGACAGTGCTGTGGGTCAGTACTCAGGCACGCATCAAAAGTTCAAACTATGTAGGTTCCCCTGCTATAAAAAGAACATTGAAAAATAAAAAAATTCAAACCTAAAAAAAAATTAGTTGACCATAAATGTGAGGGTTTATTTCTAGACTCACTTCTAATCCATCGATCTATTTATCTAGCCTCATGCCAGTACCACGTTTTATTACTGTAGCTTTTGTAGTAAGTTTTGAAATTGGGAAGTGTGAGTTATCCAACTTTGTTCTTTTTTTCAAGATTGTTTTGGCTCTTCTGGGTCCTTTAATTTCTGTATGAATTTTTGAAATTTTAGCCAGTCAATTTCTAAAAAAAGGACCATTGGAATTTTGACAGATATTGCATTGAACCTATAGATCAGTTTGGGAGTATTGCTATCTTAACACTATTGTCTTCCAATGCATAAATACAGAACATCTTTCCGTTTGTTTGGGTCTTCTTTAATTTCTTTCAACAATGTTTTGTAGTTGTCAATGTTACAATTCTTGCACTTCTTTAGCTTATTCTTGAGTATTTTATTCTTTTTGATACTATTGTAAATGGAATTTTCTTAATTTTACTTTCAAATTATTTATTACAAGTGTATAGAAATACAACTGGTCTTCGGATTTTCTATGTACAAGATCATGTTATGTACAAATAGTTTTACTTTTTCCTTTCCAAGTGAGGTCCTCTTTCTTCCTTCCCCCCTCTCTCCCTCCTTCTCTCTCTCTCTCTCTCTCTGTCTCTTTCTTTCCTTCTCTCTCTCTTTCTTTCTTTCTTGCCTAATTACCATGGCAAACACTTCCAGTACAATATAGAATACAAATGATTGAGAGACCTTGTCCTTGTCTTTGTTCCTGATTTTAGGGGGAAAGCTTTCAGTCTTTCACCATTAAATATGATGTTAGCTGTAGGTTTTTTGCAGATGCCTTTTATGAGGTTGAGGAAGTTCTCTTCTATTCCCAGTTTGTTCAATATTTTTGTCACAAAAGGGTGTTGCAATTAACTAAGTACTTTTTATGTGTCTGTAAACATAACCATGTAGTATCTTGTCCTTTATTCTACTGATATGGTTATTACATTGATAGATTTTTTTGGATGTTAAACCAACCTTGCCTTCTGGGATAAATCCCACTTGGACATAATGTATACTCCTTTTTATATGTTACTGGATTTGGTTTGCTAGTGTTTTGTTGAGGATATTTGAGTCTATATTCATAAGGGATATTGGTCTGTGGTTTTCTCTCTGCAATGACTTTGGTTTTTGTATCAGGATGATGCTGGCCCATAGACTGAGTTGGGAGGATTTTCCTCTTCTATTTTTTTAAAAAGTCTGGGGTACTCTTAATGCTTGATTTTTGACAGCTCCAGATTTCCTTTTGTTGTAAATCTAGGCTAGAACTGTTTGAAGTTCTTTGATATTCTCAGGATCATCCTTTAACTTCCTTCTTCTTGCCATACTATCTCCCTGATTTCCTCAGGTCCTGCTCTCTATGTTTCAAGATGAGAGTGACCTCATTTGAAACACTATGCATTTATTTATTTCAGCTGTTTCTTCTCTCCTCCCAAGGAAATGTATAGTCCGTCTTACCATAATTGGTGTTTCTGTAATGCAAATTAGCTAATGATTATTTAAAAAGGCAATGATGTCAGTATAACGTGGAAGTTGTCATCCTCAATTTTTCATACTTGATTTTTCTAGTGAAAGGAGGATGACAGTAGAGGTAATAGAATTATAACCTTTATTAGGACAGGAGGAAGTCTCCAGCTCAGCTGCTATATAGGCAAGAACTCTTTCAACTCTTAAAAAAAAACATAAAAAATGAGTTCTAGTACCCAGGGATCCCTCCCAGAAAGGTACACCCCTAGACTTATGGCTCTCAGATTTTGGCAAGTGTCACTTCTTTCTGTGCCCACCTTAAAGTCAACCCTACTGATAAGGAGCTCTACTTCATCCACATTATTTCAGTACCCATAAGTTTGCATTTCTACTCTGTTGTTTTTCTAAAACATCACCTGAAGCAGCTTCTGGTCACAACTGCCTACCTGGGCTAAGTTTCTCCTGAGGTACCAATTATTGTTTTCCTTTTGTGCTCTGGTTCCAAGGTAGCATAGGTTTTAAGTGGTGTGCCCTAACTCTATTTTTCCCATAGGCCTTATTATTTTTAGTGTACAATTTTGCAAGACATGAGGTTTTTCACGAATGTATATGTCATGTTGCAACATAAATGTATTTACATTTTAACCATTTAACCATGGAGATAATTGGATTTACTCAAAAAGGAATCTTTAGCAACAGTGGCAAGACAATGAGATAGAGATGTTTAGATTAACAGGAGCTTTTGCTGTACCTCAAATCTCATTTTAAACAGATTCTCGTACTTCTCTTTAAGAAAGGGCTAGTCAAGTCTGAGCCTCAGAAGGTTTTCTTTAGTAATAATTATAGCTAATGATCCTCAGTCCACTCTGTGCCCCAGTCCTTTGATGCTGTTGCTGCTACCCAGTCCTCCAGTGTGTGCTCTTCTTCATTACAAACCCATGAGGCCAGTTAGCTTTGGTTTAGCCAGCCCCAAACTTCCCCTCCAGACACAAATCATGCGGTTTTCACAACCTGCTTGGTAAAGTGTGTTCCGTTGATCACTGCTTCCCAAACTTGAGCATTATCAGAATCACCTGGAGGGCTTGTTCATCCACAGCCACCTGAGGTTAGAGCCACAACCAGCCTCCTGGATGCCACCTCTGGAGATTCCGACATATGATACATTAGGTCTAAGTGA